TGTTTGTAAAACACATCATGTCTGTAATGTGAGATGTAATGTTTGTAATACAAGTCATGTCTGTAATGTAAGATGTAATGTTTGTAAAACAAGTCATGTCTGTAATATGAGATGTAATGTTTGTAAAACAAGTCATGACTGTAATGTGAGATGTAATGTTTGTAATACAAGTCATGTCTAATGCGAGATGTAATGTTTGTAAAACACGTCATGTCTGTAATGTGAGATGTAATGTTTGTAAAACACGTCATGTCTGTAATGTGAGATGTAATGTTTGTAATACAAGTCATGTCTGTAATGTAAGATGTAATGTTTGTAAAACAAGTCATGTCTGTAATATGAGATGTAATGTTTGTAAAACAAGTCATGACTGTAATGTGAGATGTAATGTTTGTAATACAAGTCATGTCTAATGCGAGATGTAATGTTTGTAAAACACGTCATGTCTGTAATGTGAGATGTAATGTTTGTAAAACACGTCATGTCTGTAATGTGAGATGTACTGTTTGTAATACAAGTCATGTCTAATGCGAGATGTAATGTTTGTAAAACACGTCATGTCTGTAATGTGAGATGTAATGTTTGTAAAACAAGTCATGTCTGTAATGTGAGATGTACTGTTTGTAATACAAGTCATGTCTAATGGGAGATGTAATGTTTGTAAAATACATCATGTCTGTAATGTGAGATGTAATGTTTGTAAACAAGTCATGCCTGTAATGGGATATGTACTGTTTGTAATATAAGTCATGTCTGTAATATGAGATGTAATGTTTGAAAAACAAGTCATGACTGCAATGTGAGATGTACTGTTTGTAATACAAGTCATGTCTAATGCGAGATGTAATGTTTGTAAAACACGTCATGTCTGTAATGTGAGATGTAATGTTTGTAAAACAAGTCATGTCTGTAATGCAAGATGTAATGTTTGTAAAACACGTTATGTCTGTAATGTGATATGTACTGTTTGTAATACAAGTCATGTCTGTAATGTGACATGTAATGTTTGTAAAACAAGTCATGACTGTAATGTGAGATATACTGTTTGTAATACAAGTCA